CATATGGGGGAAGTAGAGAAGTGGGAGGAATCTATTTTGTTTGCTGACCACTTTAACTTGTTTATTCTAGAAAATAGCATCCAAACACATTTTCCAAAAAAACAGCATGACACCAACTACCAGCAGCAGCAGGCATGGAGAGCTCTTTCCTCAGGAACTTTCCATGGGCTGGCAGAAAGACTAGCTCCTGCCAGTAAAGGAACTTGAACCAATATAAAAATAAGAATATGTGACCTTATTAATAGTCACTGTGACCAATAACTCCTCACTGAACCATTTCAGGCTGCAAAGCTGACGCAGAGATACACAGAAGATACTCCTATCCTTTGCTTCTCAATATTCCCACCACAGTTTTGGTATTTTTAACATATTGCTGTATGTTATTGTTGCATATGTAACAAATCAATGCGTTCTACAAAAACTACCATTAAAGAAGTACAACTTCCAAATAGTTCTTCTATTATTATAGTAGTTCTTACCAAATAGTGTCTGCGACCAAAGCTGGTTTCTCTACAAAAAACAAGCCCCTCAGCTATGTTGAAGATAGATGGGTCACAGCCGCTTAGAAGGTTCCAGGAGCAAAGCTAACTCTCAACAGCTCTCCTTGGACACTGCCACTATTATTCCCAAGGAAACAGAGGACCAAATGTCAGAAGACAAAATTTTTAAACTGGTTAAATTTGGCTGCCTCTCTGATCCTGTTGTGTGTCTGCCATCATGGTAGATCTTCTTTCCTACTTCTAGATGTTCTGGCCAATAAATATTTACAAGAAGGTCATCAGGGCATGGCAAATCCTGACAGAAGGGTTATATATCATCCCTCAGCCAGCAGCACCCCACAGAGGGACAGACCTAGTAGTACACAGGATGCACAAGACACCTGAAGAAGGCCAGGGTGAATTCCTCACACCCAGGTCTGTTAAGTCACACCTACTGTACTGATTGTTTTAGATACCGTCACAGGGCCAAGGCAGGTGTGCATGCACCTCATCTTTTCTGAAATTGTGCCTCAAAGGGCATGAGACAGAAGCAGCTGGAGTTGAACCCACCTGGAGAGAAAGACCTGTACTCACCAAGAAGGAACTAAGTGCTCCAGCTGACAAAAGCCCACCTGACCTCAGATGCTTGCAAACAGCTCACAGGCCAAGCAGTATCATGCAGCCTTCACTGGACAGAGGTAGTTAACAAGGTGCTGAATGCATGTGGTAGGAATGCTGGAGAGCAGCAGAGTAAATACAACTCCCCTTAAAAACAAAATCTTTCATCATTTGCGCCACAGATAAGAAGCTGCAATTACTCGGCAGTTGTCAGGGATGGAGCAGGAGAAGTGCAGCAGCCAGGTCTGGGCTCCTTCCACAGCCTACTCTCCAGCCAGTGTGGGCTTTTCAGCAAAGAGCAAGGACTGTAGCATTATACTTTCAGATTCCATTTATGCTGGATATGGGTTGGATGAGGAAGAGGAACTTGGATAGGCTGATAGCCCAGCGCCACCCATTTTATGAACAGCAGGGCTCGAATGTGCAAATGAAGCAGAAGGAATAGACCTCCCTGCATTTGCTATGACAAAGCTTTCCTGAGAAGAGTTAGCAGTAGAAAAAGAGCACTCTGCCTAACAAGCCTGCCTGCTCTGTTTATCCCCTCCTCTCTCTTCTGTCACCACATCCTTCCACCTCCCCACCCAACCCCTCATAAAACCTCTAGCTGTCTCTCAAGCTCATTTATACACCCTGCTTCACTACCCTCACTTGGCAGCCTCCCTGTTTACTGCACTCAGAAGCAAACAGCTTCACTGATTCTCACGTTAAACGTTGCTTGTGGTGGGCACTTCACCTCCTCAGCAGTGCACTTCCACCGACCCTAGCTCAGGAAGTCACTTGAGCATGACCAAGTGGAACCAGCTCACACCCCAGAAGGGAACACAGGAGGGAGGGAATGAAAGTGCTGAGATTTCTGTGGGGCACTTCACTTCTGTGGGTCACTGCTGAGGCAGACACTCTCCAGCAGAGCTCCCGGCAGGACTGGGGCCCTCCCTTCCACAAATCTTCACGGTCAAAATGCTCCAAACTCTTTGTTTCAAGGCTCTCTCACCTTTTGCCCTGTGCAGAGACATGATCGTATTCCTCTCCCACCACCCTCCTTGAGCATTGGGATATCTCCCCTTCTACCATGAACTCACTCCGGGAGATGCCCTGTGTAAAACTCACACAGTCTATGAGGAGGACCATTTGGAGCTGACCATACTGACCCCAGAAAAAATTCATGACACTGAACACAGCTCTACCTCTTTGTAGGGACTGCAGCAGGGTTGTGATGTGTGCTCTGTCCTCTGCGGATATACCCCATTAACCTGTTTGCCTATTTTACAGCAGCCATATAATAGTGTGATCACCACAAGGATTTTTCTATAATAACCTCTAAATCCTCTCACACCTGCCTCCTGCTAAAGTACTCCCTATCCATGCAGAGACACACACTTTCTCTGTCCACTCTTATTGCTGTAGCCATTTGGACAAATAACTCTTCAGCCTACCGGCAAAATTAGACAAATAGGCACTCAAACCTATTTTTAATATTGAAATATAAATTGCCCCACAGCCCTACATATTTGAACAGCAGTCTGCACATCAGTTGCTTCTTTCTGAGCCAGCCACTGCCTCCTCATCTGTAAAATGGGGCAATCTCACTTCTTGCATCTGAGTGACAGTGTTTGCAAACATCAAGAAATGACTCTACAGAAGCCAAAAGGGAGTACTCTATTTGCATGCAAATTCATGTAAAAAATTAATCCTCACGTGGTTCCAGAAACATGATGCATACAAATACATTACTGCAAGCCTAAGAAATTTAGCTTAAGAAAAGCATCCAACTGTTTTCTACGCTGTCTGGGGGAAAAAGGGGAGAAATCTGACAACGTGCCTTCCTTTCTTTAACTGTTAACTCCTTATTCTATATCTAATATCGATCCTTAATTTTCCATTGGCATTTTGACTGCAAGAGAGCAGGGGACAATCAGGAATGGCAAAGACAATCCATTTATTTCACCCTTTCTTCATTCCTTGGGTCAGCTACTCCCTCTCTGAATCAGTGCTAGACCTGCTTGAATAGCTGAGAATGAACCTTCCACAAAGTGTGGATTTACTTTTACTAAATCCTCTAAGTATTAAAGCTCTTCACACCATTTGGTCTTGAAGTGATGCAAGAGCGAGGTGTGGACACCAGTGACAATAAAGAACCATCTGGCAAAGTGAACTCCAGGCAAACAATGACAAGCAGAAGTGAAAAGAATTGCAATGATTTCCACAAACATGTGAAATACTATAAACTGTGTGACTTAGCAGCTTCCTCCTCCTAGCAAGTAAATAAACATGTCTGCAGTAGGCTCTTTGGTTCTGTCTTTTGTAAGGGCTGAGAATACACAGACACTGCCCCATTTGCATTTTGCCTTTAAAAAATATATGCAGATTGGTCAGCAAGGGGGGAAAAAAAGGCAAGAAAGAAAGAAAAAATAAGAACTAACCAGACTTCACTTTTTCTTGGTTCTTTACTGTCAGGGTGATGTACTGGAAGTCTTTATTTCTTTCAGCTTGGGCCCCTCAGTAGTTCATTCTCCTTCCAGCCTGTTCTCATGCCTTTCTTATCACCTGCTGAGGCCTTGATCATGGACAGAGCAGACAAGCAGCAGGGGACAATTAGAGAGGAGTTCAGACTTTGATCATTTGACCATATGTGAATACAACAGCTGACCACATGTTTTAAAAGACAACTAACTTAAAAGTATTAAAAAAATCACAATGCGGGCATAGATACTTAAATTTACATTTTAATTATCTGGCACAATGGTGCATTCAACTTCGCAGAATATTGAATTTTTTTCCTAAATGTACACATTCCCAAAAGGAAAACCAGCACTTTTCTGCTTCTCCAGACCCTAAATAAGCCCACTCTCACTAAAATAAATATTTTAATGATTTTTAAAATAAACACATCTGGCTACTAACCTGCAGTTCCTACTGACAGATATATTCACAAGTAATTTCTGCCCTGTAAACAGCCCGATTTAAATGGAGTAACTCAGTATTACTTTATATTTTAAAACACCATGTCTTTAATAGTACACAGACATAATACCCTGCAGTACTTAAATGAATGATTTTTTTTTTTCAGAGCCTCTGTTAGCCCTTAAAACTGAGTACAGAAATATAACAAGACTTAAACGTTGTTATTGTAGGGACTAAGTTCTGACTGCTCACCCGCCTGCTTTTCCTTTAAAAAAAAAAAAAAGGAGGGGGGAAGTAGGGGGGAATCTTCATTTGCACAACGGTGTTACTTTTGTTAAATCTTTAAATTATCAAAGCAGAACGGATCCAGTTGGGAGCAGTTTAACTGCAAGCGCCTGACCCCAAGTACTGGGAAGAAAAAAAATCATTGTTGGAAATTTTTGTATACAATAGAAGCTATATCATCATTTGTGGAGACAGACCATCCACTTATCTTCTGCACCTACCAGGTAATTAACATATTCATGAAATGGCTATTTACTCTCAAATAGGAGGATAATAGAAAAATAACACTAATTGTTTTGACAGCAGTTTGCTTAGGCGTTATCTGAGGCAACAAATGTTTCTTTTGTAGTTGTAGGAAGGCAGAAATGCTCCTTTCTATAAACACTTCTGACTTCAGCTGTCCTTTCTCTCTGAATTTTGGACACTACCAAGGAAAAACTGTGGAATCAGTGAAAGGAGAAGGATTTAAAAATCTAATTACATTTAGTTTTGGTGGGATAATAATTGCTTGCATGTTTTCATTCTAATGCAAACCACAGAGTATAACAACATTTTGGAGAAGGAGCTGTAATGCGTTTCACAAAGTAGAAGCAGAACTGGACCCCATGCTAACTGAACAAAACAATGGGACCTAATGGTGCGTGAAGGGTGTGGTGTGTACATAATTTTTTAAGAGGTTCGAGTTCTTACGACACAGTCTTTCAAAGGCTATTTTCAATGTTTCTCCGACTGGACTATAAAAAGTCTCCTTCCTGGCCCAAGCCTGCTCCTAATGAGGAGAGAGGGGCGAGTGCTGACAGCAGGTCAGTGAGCACGCTCTGCCCCCACCTCACTGCCCGTCCACGTGCTGGCTCGGGGCCCCCAGCCAGAAGAGCACGTGTGGGCTCTGCGGCCGCACCTCCCGCTTGCCCGCGCTCCGGCCGGCTCCAAACCCCACCGGCTCCCTGGGTTTACCGGGGCAGCATCGCGCCCAGGCGAGCGGTGCCTCGAGGTGGCCTCAAACGCGGCCGAGGCCACGCCGGCAAACATCCACCCCTCACGTGCTCTCAGCCCTCCCGGCTGCCAAGGCCGAGCCCGCCAGCCTCGCGGGCCTCCTCGGAGCTGCCATCAGCCACAGCAATCCAGCCGTGCAGGCCGGGAACGTGGCGGCCATCTTAACCACACGTCGCATCTCCTCGCCGGGACGCGGAGCCAGAAGAGAAGGAGCACAGCACGCAGCTGAAGAGGGGAGTGAGCTCAGAGAATCGAGAAGGAAACCTCTCCAAGCCTGGCAGCTTATCAAAAGGAAAAAATAATCAGGGCGATGTTTGTCTGCAGCCCACCAAGTCTCTCTCAGTCACAGTATTAGAAGATATTAAAGCTAATCAAATATGAATTATCAGCAAATTCACCACTTGTTTTTCAGCCTGAGGCTGGGAGATGAGTGGCAGAGGGTTTCTGGGCTTTCCCAGGTCACCCTGGAAGAAATTTGGCTTTGTTTTTAAAACCAAAGTTCATCTCGGCACCACGCGACGGCTCCAGCACTCAAAAACAATGGTTCTCGCCGAGAATCTTCCTGCACCTAAGGGCTCTCCGCAATAAAATATGAATGCAGTATTAATTAAATATAGATGCAATTTCCTCCTCCTTTTTCTCCTTAGCTGCTATCAAGAACATTAGTGCAGGCGCCTAAGGAAAGCACTGCTAACAGAGAACAGCTGCCACACTAATTAAGCACCGTGGTCTATTGGCCAGGCATGGGCCCAGGAACCAGCCACCTGACTTCTCAATTCACACACAGTGGCTCCAGGCATGTGGCTTCAGCCCCTGCTCAGCCAGACGCTTTGCACTTGCTCAACTTTAAGCACAGGAGAAGACACCTTGACTTCAAAAGAACGGGATTACCACCCACCCCCAATGGGGGTCGATTTAGCTCCTTAAACGCAACAAGCATTGTTTCTGTCCTGAAGATGCTGCTAATTGTTTGAGTTTGCAAGGCATTTGGAGATCTGCTTGGCAGCATTGCCATCTTTGGGAAATGCTAACGGGAAGCTACTGCCAAGGAACAGTGTCGCTGCGTAGGAGCTGCCAAAAATTCCTACCCTAGCAGAGTCTGTTCAGAGAGCTCCAGCAAAATAAAGCAAACCCTGAGCTGATGGCTGTGTTTTAGACTGCTGGGCCCATCTCCACCTTGGAGCCACTGAAAAGAGGGTGTCAAACCTCCTCCAAGAACAGCAAACCTAGTGCACAACTGAGAAGGATTTTGCCATTAAAGATCCTTTTCTTTCTCTGTCAGACTAAGAGGGCTCCAACCCTCATCTCCATCCTGGCTGGGCAGTTGGACAGAAATTTTACCTCTGAAATTGTATCACTCAGACAAAAATACTTGAAAACAAGATTCAAGATTGAAGAGGCCCGAGCAGGGATAGGACATGCCTGGGATCTCATATTCCAGTCACCAAGACTCACATACAAGTGGGGAGACTTGCACTGCAGAGATTTTCTTGTGATTCAGCATTTCTTGTGATGCCATTTTCTGTACCATGTGTAAGCAGCCTTCCTCCATCACCACCACCACCTGCTCCCAGTTTAGCCAATTACCATTTAATGTTCTCCATCTGTACAATAGGAGCAGTGGTACTTCCTGACCTCACAGGTATGCGTGTGTGTCTGCATGTGTGAAGATAAATATATTAAAGATTGGGAGGCATTCAGGTCCTGGGCCAATGGGAGTCATATAAGTGCCAAAGAGACTAAGACAAATGAGGGCCATATAAATAGATGGCTGGAGAGCTGCAGCCCTGAGGCTACAGGCAAGAAAGGGGCAGAGGCAGTGACTAACCGTGGGAAAGAGCCCCGTTTGAAGTATCTAACAGAGCATGTGAGTGCCAAGGGAACGAGGAATAAAGCCCAGCTCCCTCACACTGGGAAACTGTGCTGACACCCCTGCCATCAGGAGGCAGCCCGTGGAGGAAGAGGTGGGGTTGTCAAAATAAGCCTGGCTTTAGATCAACAGCTGGATAAGGGAGCCTGATCATATGCATAAGCCCACCCATGGCTTCTGGAGATACCAGTGGTGCAAAACGAACCGCTGTGCTTAAACGAGCTCTCAGCAGAGACAGGGCCTGGGCTCACCTGGCACTAACCCCCTCTCGTGCCACAGACAGTTTGAGCAGGGAAGCAAGGACTGAGTGAGCAGAGGTGTCCCCACTCAGTCCACAAGTGGCTCCAAGGCACAGGGATAGTCACCTGGGGCAGATCCATCCCCTACCAGCCTCCACATCCCTGGTCTTGGGTGGACTTCAGTCTCCAGCTCTGTCAATCCTGCTGTGAAATGCACTTTATAAAGTGTCATAAATCATAAAACACATCTCCCCCCCTCAGATCCACTGCCTCTTCTGCAGCTACTGAGGAGGAAAAAAGGCACCTGGGAGAAATCTGGCCCACAAAGGTTCACAGAAGACTGCACACAGCGCCTTACTGGCAAAGAAAGAAAAAAAAGAACAGAGGAAAGGTAGAGACTGTAAGAGGTTAGAGGGAAAAGCAGCAACAGCCTTCGAGAGCTCCCTGAGCTTTTCTGCCTGGCAAGCTTTGGGGATCTCTCACAGCTTTTAAGAAGAAGGCAGCAGCATTTTTCAGGGGGGAGAAATAATAATAATATCCAAGAACCAGAGATTCTAACCATCAATGAATTTATAAAGGAAATATGATGATGATTTTGCCACAGTGGGTCTTTAAAGCGTCTCCCATGCCCCCAGCTGGCTAAGCAAGGGGAGAGACTAAGAGGATCTGCTCTCAGTTTCTTCACTGGTACACCCAGATACTGTCAAAATATCTCTTCTGGAGTTTACTATTTATCATATTCATTAAGGCAGTACCCAGAAGCCCTCCCAGGTCCTCAGTAATGTACAAACATGCAGATAGTCCCACCCCCAAAGATATTTAAAGGCAAACCACAGAGCAAGGCAGAGAGAACTGGCAGAGGGGTAGTAGCAGAAAATACTCTCTTTAAATTCAGGGCAGTTGAGAGCAGAGTCACACAGCTGATTAAAGGATGTGGAGATGCATTGTAGTGAGACCTCTGGGTAATTAGCTTATCAAAGCATAGGTTCATACACACCTATGTGGGAAGCAAACTGTGATAACAGTTTCCCAGTCTAGCAAAACCCTAACAAAAACTGAAGTGAAAGATAGTCTGACGAGGCTGGAAGTCAGTCGTTCACCAGAGGTGACAGTGATGCAGATCTATTACTACAGGTTTCAATGAAGACAAAGCAAATTGTTTAGAAAAACACCCTCATTCAAACAAATTCATCAATTTCAAGAAAATCCTATTGCCTGTTTTGGAGGGGTGATCAGACAGGATTATCACAATAGAATTAAACATAACTTTCTCTGCACTCCAAGGATTAATCAAAATGAAAAGTATTTAACAGCAAGGTAATGGATGGCAAGAAAAATACTACAATGCAGCAACAATACATACTTCCTCCTGCTTATTTCATAGCAAGAAGGATGAGATTTGTATTTCTCTCCAGGGTCTTAAACTGCTTTAAGATAAAAACAAAGTTCCTCAAATATTCCAGACAAACAGACTGAAATATTCTGATATTTATTTTGTGCCTGGGGCTTCCCAGCACTGCCATGCTCCATAAGTCTTTGGTTTAAACGCTCCCCCCACTCTCCCAAAAAAAGAAAAGAGATCTGAATCCACTGAAATTGATATAGATGCAAAGCAGAGGAAGCTTTTTCTAGGATAATTAATTTTCCCTTTTTCTCTCCTCTAAGAGACTGATACAGCAAAGCCAAAATGCCCACATATCCACACAGGATGATGGGGTAGTTTGGGCACCAGATAACCCAGACAGTTTTGGTCTGCTTGATGCTGGCTGCAGAGGTTCAAAGAGACCAGCTCTCAGCTCTACCCAAAAGCTACCAAAACTACCATTAACACACAAGTTTAGGAAGAGTGTAGTTTAAAGACACAAAGTCATTTGACGTGACCAAATCTCACCCCAAAACCCACAATGAATTTTCTGAAAAATATATCTATCTGTATTCTGGCTCCAAACCTTCACTCTGTTTTGGGTTAGTTTCGGTTTTGCTGGTTTTGATCCAGGTTTTTTGGGTTCTTCTGTTTGGCTGGTTGAGTTTTTTTACTTTTGTAAGACTACTAAAGCTCTTAAAAGCCCCCTAAAAACTGGAACTTCAGGGTAGGGGGGTGGGGAGAACCAAACCAAGCACTGCATTATAAAAATTATAACCCCTAACCCAACTAAGCTCCCCCACCTGGATCTGCTGAGCTCGCTGGGTTGAGTTCAGCTGGTGGCACAGGACTTTATCCAAGTACCTCCACCATGCTCACCAAATTATGGCTGATCATTTTTAGGGCAGGCCTTAAACACACCATGGGTCCTCCATGGTCTTTACCTCACTTCTGTTCTTGTCTTAAATCTTTTCCTGAGATGTAATGTTAAAGAAACAAAAGCAGAATGAAGCCCCTATTTTCATGGGCTGTACTAAATTGCTTTCCCCACAGTCATCTGCTGCATTCTTGTTATTTCCAACTTTTCTGCAGTGTAAAAATAATCTGAGGTAGAAGAAAACACAGTAGCTAAATGCAGCAGCTACCCTTACTTTTTAAAACATAATAAATCAAACATTGCACCTAGGCTTAGGCAAAACAAGTTCAGAAAAAAAAATACACAGTTGCTTCAGGCTCAGGAGATATTTACACTATTAAAACAAGGATGCCTTCACTGACTAGGAAAGCATGGAGTTTTTACAAAGAGGCAGGGGAAAGGACTACCAGCTAGAAAGCAGATCTTTGACAAACAAGCCACTCCAGGGCAGAAATAGGGGAGTAATAGGGGTTTAAGAGAGAAAGATACTATGTACTACCCTCCTGGAGCTGGTCCTTTGTCATTCACATTGGAAGTAAGAGTCCAGTGCACCGGGAGGGAGAGCATCCCCAGATCCAGCCCTGCACCATTTTGATTAAATCCATCTCCACTACCTTGAATGTAAAGCAGGGATAACAACACAGAAAGCCAGAGCCTCTGTTGAGGACTACTGGACTGCACCTTTTTGCTTTCTGCTCAGTGAAAGAGACCACAGGAGAAACCATCTCTTGCCTTCCTGTTGTCGTGGGATGCGATTCAGGAGCTCTTCAAGTTTCA